CTAATACAATTTAAAATAATTTACATGAGAGAATAGAACAGAGAAAGAGGAAAATAGCATTGGAAAATGGATGTTATTGTTTCTGAAGACGACTATTGAATTTTCAGCAGGTGCATATATGTACAAAATTTCTTCCCATTAAATTCTATCAACGCAGATATTGTGAGATATGAATCGAATAATCGTTGTAGTCATTAAACAGCAACTTATTACTTAATATTTATTACTTATTGTCGAGACTCTGGACTATTAAGATTTCAATTAATTTAAAAATATGGAGATTACGTTCAACTTGTGTTATGGCCCAGAATGTTGATGATATTTCATCATTCTAAAAATAGCTTTGCCATCAGTGATGATAAAAACAGTAGGATATTTCATCATCCTAAACTTCATCATTATAAAAACGACCATTCCACCAGAAGTGGGTAAGCAGATTAGAGAACAGTAGAATAGGGTACCCACAGCAGTAGTAAGTGATGAGTAAACAAGTAGCAGTAACAGTACAGAGACACATATCTACCCAGCGCTCCGGGAAGATCGAAAACAGACGATTTCAAACGCCATACTCACAAACGAAATTCTCGGAACCAAAACAAGTAACCACTGATGTTTAAACAAAAGAGACACTGGGAACATTTTTACACACACCATACCGTTATTCGGTAATTCATCTCACAAGAAAAAATACAAATTATTTTTGTTTATGTCAGCATGTGTCTCAAATTTTTATTGTTGTCAACTTTGTACATTTTAATTGCTGTTATTTATAATTAACCCCGTTAAACTTGGAGACATTGAAAATGAGTTTACATCATAAATAAATCCTTGAGTGAAAATCCGTGAAACATTCGTCTGAAGAGTAGAAAAGATTGTATGTTTGTCTTTTGTTATCGTCACCAGCATTTATACAAAGCAGAATATCGCTACACTTTTGTGTCTTCAATTAACCCTGCGTTAGTTGCCTCGGATTTTGGAAAATAGATAGTCGCCTAGGGTTTTACGCAGCCGAATACAACTATGCTTATAGTGTTACAAGCTAGTTTTTCTTTTTTGCAAAATCAGTTCAAACTAAGCAAGGCTTTATTTCAACTATGACACAAGTGGCAACTGGAAGTGAAAAAGAATAAGAAGACTTTAAAGTAACCAGAAAGCCTATCCTAAATAGGAAACAAGGGATAAAAATCTTACTTTGAAAGAGAGAAATGCAAGTAGACAAACAACTGAAGCTAATATACGACCCAAGAGCCGCTCAAAGTAGAGGGTTACTGTATGGTGTTGTACTAGCGTAAGAAAATGGCAAGAAATAAAGTTCATGGGCCTATGCAGGAAAAACACCAAATAAATCTAGACTTAAAGTTGTCTTGATTTAATTATGCAAAATATTGTCGCATTGATGAAAATAATAATATAACATGATATCTTAGTTACTATATACAGGTTCTTGTCACATATAAATAAAACGTATTTTTTTTTTAATTCAGATTTTCCATCTTTCATCTTCTGATTGAAAATAGCAATGCTAGCAATATATTCATATTAATTTGTTATTCGTTGCAATAACTTATGAAATTATTTTAGGAGGTACTTGTAGTTCAATGTTTGAATCATGGAGAGAGAGAAAGCGAGCTGAGTTCGAAAATTGACAGACTTTTTTTTATATTAACTTTTGCATAGATACGCTGGAGGAATTCATAAATTTCTCCCAATATGGTTGACTCTCTTGAGTCAACCAGCCAAAGAGAAAGAAACTCCAACAGGTTATACTAATGTTGCTGGAGATGCTGTAAATGCGTTGCCTCTGCCAACCTAATAGGTCATGGGATTGATAAAGGGGCAATAATTTATGATTTATAATAATCAATAACCTGATCCTACAACAGGGATATCTCTCATGGCTTCTGAAATTAACTGACTTGATGTGTTGACATGAACAATTTTATCAGTGGAATAAAGATGGGCTATAGTCAGTAACTCGTTTAGGGTCATAGATTTAAGCTTAAGATAAAAACTTAAACTTGTAGGCATATTGCCTAGTCCCTGATGCACATGGTCGTGATTAGTCGGAGAGAATCAAGTCGGAGAGTAGTGTTGTTATATAGTTTAACGTTAAAGCAGTCAAGGCGACATAAGAGTCACATCGATAAGCTTCATCTATGTGGTTATGTGCTGCTTTTCTGTGTTGATGTATGCGTCTGGAATACAATTACAGAATGGGTATCATGAGAGGTATTGTAGGTTTGGTTTATTTGTAAAACAGCGTCACTTGTAGGGTGTGACGCTCTTTCAGTCAACAACAACAACAATAACAATAATAATAATAATAATAATAATTGCACAATACACACAGACGGAACAACCAAAGCTAATCTCCCAGATATTGTTATTACAGACCGCAAACAAGCAAAAAAGTGCCGCCTTATTTTTTTATTTTTTATTTTTTTTAAGCATTTCACCACAAGCAAGGCGGGAAGCCACTAGGGCGCAAGGGGTTACAGAAAATTTAGAGCAAGATCCGATAGGAGTGATAGAAGAAAGGATGAGGGTAGTGGATAGATCAAGGCAACTGGAGATGTCGATTGACATTACACTTGAATAGCCGGAGATTATAGCTCATAGGGAAACAGGAAAAGGGAAGGGATTTCCACAGGCGAGAGGTGCGAGACATGAAGCTATTAGAGTAGAAGAGACGGCTATATTTAGGAGTTTCGACAGTGAAGGGGTGAGAGCGGAATGCCAGCCTCATGAGGCGCTGGAACTCGTGACGTCTGGGAACCAGCGAATGCAGCTCCTCGGAGCAATTTCCATGGAAGTATTTGTACAACAGACACAGGGAGGCGACGGCGCGTCTGTGAGAAAGTGACTGTAGACGAAACGCCAGGGCAGGGCCAACCACATTGCATATGATATGGCAATCCCTGTGGACTGCAATGTATCTTTGAAGATGTTCAAAAAGCTGTCAAAATACAACGACCTTGAAATCGAAATGTCAAAAATGTGGCACATGAGAACATCAACCTTGCATGCTGTAGTTGGAGCCCACGGATTGGTTGGAAAAGGTTCCAATAGACTAATTGAAGGGATTCCTGGAAGCCCATGTCTTAAAGAAATACAAAAAAATTTCTCACAAGTACAATCAACAACTTACGAAGGGCTTTATTTAAGTACCTTTTTTTTGTGTGTGTGTTTCATTGGAAAATATCATGATGCAATTTCTAACCTTAGATCACCGGGCGGGAGCCGGAACGAAATGTGTACATACCAGAAATCAAAGAAAATAAAATAATAATAATAATAATAATAATATGGGAAGGAAACTACAAGAAACAGGTATAGACATCACCCAGTGCCAGTTACCCAGATAAGACCTGTAACAATTTTATGGATTTTACAATGCATACAGAGAGAACAATCAAAGCTAATCGTCCAGACATCGCGATCAAAGACCACAAAAAGAGAATCTGCTTTCTTATTGCAGTTCCTCCGACTGTAATATATTTCTGAAGATCTTTAAAAAAAAACCAAAAAATTATCAATACACAATGTTCTTGCATTCGAAATCTCTAAAATGTGTTACATGTGGACATCAATCATACCATTTGTAGTTGGAGCACTCGGATTTAATGGATATTTCCGATAGACTCACTTAAGGGATTCCTGGAAGCCGATGTCTTAAATAAATACACAAAATTTTACAGTCTGTCTATATTTCTGAGATAAGGTATTATGTACATTATTTACATTATAAATGCCCTTGAGGACATATGGCACAGAGGATAAAGGCGTTGGTTAGATCCAGTGACAGGGACCAAAGAGTGTGAGTTAAATACCCGGTTAAGGCAGTGGAGAACTTTCAGAGGGAAAGTAGCAGGAGTTAACTGATAAGTGACATCCATCAAACATGGCACGTGGAACTAGAACAGTCTACCCCAGTGAGCGAAAGAAAGGGTTCAGTTCGAAATTCCAACTACCTGAAGACTGCCGGAGCGTACAACGGCCGAAACGTTGTAATAAATATGTTGTCAAAGAAATAGGGCGACAAAGATGAGGACAATAGTCCGAATAATGTAAATAATGTACAAAATTTTACTCCCAAATACAGCTGGCCCATCACGAAGTGCTGCATCTATATAAAATGTGTGTGTAATTTATCAGAAGAAAGCTCAGTGAAAGATATTTTGAAGCGAATTTTGAATTTATGTATCTGGTTTCGACCAGAAGGAAAAGCACATACAACAGAAACCCAAAGAAAAATATATTAATAATAATAATAATAATAATAATAATCAGAAATTTGTCAGAGAACGAAACATATTTATAAAGTCTATCAAGCGAATGATTCAGCATAATAGATTTATCACTGATAATTTATTGCAGTAATGACTTGACTTTAGCGCTTACATAATCTACTTACAAAGACGTCATCTTACATATTCTAGTTACAATGACGTCATCCTGCTCTCGCTTGTTAGTGTTGACAGTGTGTCGGCGTTCTTAAAAGCATCGAAGCGCGAAAATAATGTGCCTGAATGCAGCTAAATATATTTTTTTTCCAGACACGACGTGTAAACCGGTCTAGACGTTATTTTGGCGACAACTTTCAAGAACATGGACGTTAGGAATCAAGAGCAACGGGTAAGAGAAAGAGAATGAAGGATATATATATATATATATATATATATATATATATATATATATATATATATATATATATAATATTGAAAGAGAGAGATAAAGAAGCAAAGACATAATAAAAAGAGTGGAAGAGACAATAATGGAGGACAAAAGAAAAAGAAGAAGAATGGGCGGGAGAACAAAAATACATTAAAAGTTTACATTTACACATCAATAGACTAAATCCCATTGAAAAAGAATTCTATTTACATAGATATGAAAGTAAATGTTTTGGACAATTCGCATTCAAATATTTTTATTGATATATATATATATATATATATATATATATATATATATATATATATATATATATATATATACGT